GAAAAATACTAGAAATCACTAACCAAGCACCTACTCTAGGCCAGGCAGGCCACCTAGGTGGCTGCTGCACAAGAAACTTAACCTCTAGCTTCAGTTTCTTCATCCAGAAGATACTCTAACCTCCCCCGCGTGTAGTGCTAAAGACGGGACATTCGAGCACTCAGAATACAGCAGCCCCCAAATGACAGCTAGTCCTGTTCTTACAACCGCTGCACTGGGAAACTTAGGTGGTCTTATTATTGAGTTTGGCGACCTGCCACATTAGCTGGTGTCGAGTTCTCTGACCCCTCTGCCAGCCGGAGCCCTGGACTCCCTTCTGCGCCTGGGCACTGAGCTCCTACAAAGGAGGAACAGAGGCTGGGATAAAAGTGCAAACCCAGCAGGCTTCAGTCTGCCGGAAAGGACGCGGATTAACCTCTGGATCCCATCCCACTGAGACAAGAGTCCAGCTGGCGAGGGGTGGTGACAAGCTCGGAAGATGAGGCATGACTCCTCCCTAGGTCTACAGCCCAGGCAATTCAAACAGGAGCCGCCTAAGAAAATAGGAAAGAAAAGCCAGAGGAGCAATCCCATCCCACGGGAAGAGGGGGTGGGGGGCTGTCGCCACAGCCTTCGCCCTCCACACCTGTGTCTGCCATGGCTCCGAGGGCTAGCCTGCAAGTTCCCAAGCCCCAGGAAGCCCGGAGGAGAATATAAAGCCAAAGGACCAGTTCAAAGGAGCTTGGGGGAAGACATCTGTTTCTACTGCCAGCGTTCCTGTCCGGAGCAAATCTACGTCTGTCATCTGAGTAAGAATTTCAGGGAACACAGGAATAGCACAGGAAAAGTCAGTCAAGCCATCTGTCTTTTGGTAGGAGAAGCCCCAACACACAGCCACGTCTCAGGCAACTGCTCCAGGGGCAACGTCTCGAAACTCATCCTGCTTTTCCATGGCTGCTCTGCTTAGTCCCATCCTCTGCTCACAAAGTGACCGAGTTTGGTCACATCTCCCTTAATGCACTAAACGATGATGGGAACGTGCCAGGTGGGGTCACGGAGGGCAGAAGGGCAGTTTAGGCCCTTGACGGGAAAATTCCCAACTAGAAGAGGCCTTGCCTGCCCACCAGCCGGGCTGCTGGGCCAACCACGTGGAGAGTGCATGGAGAAGATGGTTCTGGAACCAGCCAGGCTTGGGATGTGCATGGGGATCAGATGTGCAGGTGAGGACATCCTCAGGACTAGCCGGGATGATGCGTGGGGATAAGTGCTCCACACCCGGAAGTTACCAGCCAGTGTCAGTGCCCAGAGCGCCATCTGCCCACCTCACTCTGAGCTTCCCGCGTGTCGCCACACTCCCAGCACAGTCCCCAAGACACTGTGAAACAACGCAGTATTTTCTAAGCTGGAAAAGTGGCCCCAGAACCCAGGAGACATGAAATGGCAACCAGAAAACTCTGGAACTCCTTAGAGGGCAAGCAGCTTGTAAGCTTAACCAAGGCCACCAGCACGATGCCTGGCTCAGGTAAGCACGACACCCAGCCACCCTTATTATTGTTATCGTGGAAATTTAAGCCCGGGCTATGGGCCTCGTGCTGGATGAAGGAAACCTCCAGAACATCTTCTGGGTTCCAGGACCCACCCTAGGATTCCTGGCTGGGAGTCTCAGGGCCTTTAGCGGTGACTGTCACCGCCAATCCAGCAGCAGCAGGTAGACCACCCTAGGGGGCTGCTGCGGTTGGAACTCTCACCTGGGCCGTAGGGAAGCGATGCTCCTTGTCTACCTGGGCCGCAATGGGAGCCAGCTCCTTCTCAGCAAATTCCCGGCAGGTCTGACGCAGCATCTGGTGCATCTCAGGCAGCTCCACGGACTGGTAGATAGTATGTAACCGACGGCAGGCCCGAGGACGCAGAGCTGCCGGCAAGAAGAGCAGGTAGTAGTGGGAGGGGGACGCAGGAGGCCCTGCTGCATGATCATCATAATGGCCATCCCGTGACTCGGTGGGCCTCCCCCAGGGATGCTTTTGCTCCCCCCACCGGCCCCCACCCCAGGACATCTGGTAATGTCTGGAAACATTTCTGGTAGTTGCAGCTGAAGGGTGGAATGCTGCTACTGTGGAGGGGGTAGAGGACAGGGATATTGCCTAACACCCTACAATGCACAGGGCAGACCCCACAACTAAGAATTATCGGTCCAAAATGTCAAGCACGCTATTTAGAAACCCATACCAGCAGAATGCTTCCTCGAACTGCAACACACTTGCTCCACAACTCTCCCACCCCGTCTTCACACCCATGGTACTAAGACCACAGCTTTGCCACTTAGGCCAAGATCTTAACTTCACTGAGCCTCTGTGCCTAGAAAACCTGGCCGCCAGCAGTACTGAGCTCCTGCGGGTGGGTGGGTGGGAAAGATGCTGACTGAGGCACTCAGCACGGGGCCTGGCAGAGACAGCTCTCCATGGGGGTCCCCTTACTGTTGTCCTGCAGGCAAAGGAAGCCCTGGCCACGTGTGTCACTGCTGCTACAGAGGGAGAGAAATAAACCGGGAAAGATGCGGCGGGCAATAACCAACGAGCCTTCACAGTTCTGAGCGCCCTCTGAAAGGCGCTGCGCTGAGTGTTTTACACAGCCTGGTCCTTGTAACAAGTCCACGAGAAGAGTGACACATCCTGGGACCATTTTACACACGGGCCAAATGAGGCGGACGGGCCGAGCGTCTCGCCCAAGGTCACAGACACCGAGTCTGGGCTCAGTCCCAGGCCTGGCTCAGGAGGAGGGGCGCCCCTGAGCCTCCAAGGGCGGGGAACTTGCGGGGTGGGGTGTGAGGGGCCAGTGTGGATGCCTAGGCGAGAGCCGGGCGGTGGGCGCGAGTCGGAGCGGGAGCCCGGGCCGCGCAAGCGCCAGCAGCGGCCCAAGTGGGGCAAAGGCCGCGCGTGCTCCACGAAGGGGTGCCGCCCTGCCGCCCTGCCGCCGCAGGGGAGAACCGGACCGCCGGGACTCGCTCCCGCTAGGCCGGCCCGGGTCGCCGCCGCCCCCTCCACCCTGGTTGCGTGGAGCCGGAGCGCACTCACCTCCGCGGCTGGGGCCGCAGGCCCGGGCGAGCAGCGCGGCAGCCATGGACGCGGACACTGCGCGGGGATTCCGCTCGCCGACTTCCCGAGGGAGCGCACCGGTTCCGGGCTGCGGGGGCGGGGCGGGGGCGGGGCAGGGGCGGGCCGTCACGCCCCCTAACCCCCGGGGGCGGGGCCCACCGCCACTCCTCCCGGCCCTGCCACCTTCCCGGGAGGGCAAACCTCGTTCTCCCCCAGTACGCTAGGTCTCCGCCGTCCGCCTTCATCCTTTCTCAAAACCCGCGGACGGTGGCCCATCTCTCCTAAAATCCAATTCCGCGACCTAAAATATGATCATATGACCAACCCGCACCTACCTCTCTTGCCCCGAGCCCACCGTTCCCTCGCTTTACTCCAGCCGCAGAAGGCAGCTCCAACACCCGGCTTGTTCCTGCCTCCGCGACCGCGCCAATCCCTGTTCTTCTACCTGGAATGCTCCTTCCCTCCATCCAGGTCTCACTCACTCTCACTGAGGCCTGCCCTGACCACACATTCTCCACCTCAGCGTCTTACTTGTTCCAGAGTCTGACATCTTCTCGACTGCTCCCTGTAGTCTGTGAGCTCTGAGAAGTACAAGGTCTTGCCCTGATGCTCACTATTTCAGGCCCAGGGAACTGGGTTGCCTGAGATGGGGGATCTCTCTTCTCCAGAAGTTGTGCAGGTGGGGTGGAAGTGTCACCCTCATTCCACTGTAGTCCCATCTGTCCCCCCACCTCTGGGGTAGAGCCCATTTGGGAGCACCAGGCACTGCCCCCAAGCATTTAGTCCTTGGCATCCTTGTCAAGACCGCTTCACCCTCCCCAGGAAACTGGCAACTCCTGTGCCCTAACAAGGGTCTTCCCTCAGCACAAGCGTGAGTCAGACTTCCCCACCCTAACAGGCACCCACACATCCCTCTATCTCTTCTTTATGCCTCTGTAGCTCAGCAAGGCACCTGTCCCCAGCACTGACACCCATGCCAAAATTTGTCTTCCAAGACCTTGCTCTCCCTCCCCGAGATCAGTAAAAAGATGCAGCACACCCTTAATATGCTACCTCTCATTTTAAAAGAAAGCCTCTAAATCCACAGTACTTTAGACCCAAACGGATGGCTGTGGTTGGCAAATGCTCCAGGGCTTTCCTAACCTCTCTGCTGCCCTGCCCCGAGCCCTGAAAGGAGAAGGCAGAAGGGGAAATCAGGGAAAGGACGCCAGCCAATGACTGCTTCCGCTGCCACCGACCATCCAAACCAGACTTACTTTAACAGTGTATTGTCACCCTTCACAACAATGTTAGTTTTATATTAAAAGTATGCCAATTTCCCAGTAGAGACAGAAACCAGATAACGGTTTCAAGGGAACGGGCCTTTGAGGGAACTTTGCGGGGTGAAACAGCAGCCCTGGATCATGACCGTGATGGGGTAATAAAGCTGCATGCTCGTCCCGATGTATCTTAAACCAGGGGAGTTCTACCGGGGAGTAGTAAATGGACACCTCAATAACCCTAACGTTAAAATTACGTATTTAATTCTCAAAGCCCCCCCCCCCAGCAAAACAAAAAGGGGCGCCTGGGTGGCTCAGTTGGTTAAGTGTCTGCCTTCGGCTCAGGTCATGATCTCAGAGTCCTGGGATGGAGCCCCGCGTTGGGCTCCCTGCTCGGAGGAGGTCTGCTTCTCCCTCTCCCTCTGCCTGCTGCTCCCCTTGTTTGTGCTTACTTTCTCTGTCTCTCATTGTCAAATAAATTAAAAAAAAAAAAAGGCAACAATATTAAACCTAGAGCCCAATACTGTTCCCTGATGATCCTACAAATCAGCTATACTCCTGATTTACAGAAAGGTCGTGTAAAGAAACTCAGAGCCCATCGCCACCCCACACCTGCTCCCCCCAGCAACCCACGGGGCCCAGAGGACAAGAGAAGATGCACGTACTGTGAAAATCTTTTATTACTGTCTCTTGTGGCAAAATAACATTTTGTACAAATAAGTCACCTAGTTTACTCTGGACACAAAGACAATACAAACTGGAATGAAGATCTTAGGTGAAGGGGAAAGAGGAGGGAGGACAGATCCAGTCATTGACGTTTCTTATATTCTGTGAAAAATAGATTTACAGGGGAAAAAAATAGACTTTTACAACTTCAATGACTTTACATGATCCTTTGTAAAACAAGGGGTTAAATCCGCCTCCACCAGACCCTTCTTGGGGCGCAGATGTTCTGTAACATGGAATGTGAAGAAACGATGAGCCGAGACGAGCAGGCGCTCGCAGCAGGGACCACAGCAGCCTCTGCATCCAGAATGCTCAGGCCCCGGCAAGGAATCCGTGCTGTGGTTCTGGGGACAGACTGTCTCCAGTCCCCAGACCTCACTGCCATCATGGTGACAAGAGCCACCAAAACAAAGTGACTTGACAGAGAAAAAAAAGAATACCCTGGCAGCCTCCTGGGGATGGCAGGACACACTAAGGCAAGACTCCCCCAACTTGTCTGTTACACACAGCCTGTTAAATCCAGCCCAGAAACCAATTCCACTTCAACTGGAAAAGTTGACGATTTCCCGTCACTGCCATTTCAAGAATCACCAGTCTACGGTTAGCCCCACCTTCCCTCAATCACTGGCCCTGCTGGAGAACCAGATGGCCCGAAGGCTGGAGGTGTCTTCCTGGAGTTCTGCAGGCCCCCGACTGCTGCTTTCTCTCAAGGTACCGCTGAGCTAACACATAAGGACAGGACGGCCTACTTTGGCCCACAACTACTTTTACTGATTATTTCTTCTGTCTGCTCTTTAGGACAAAATGAAATCAACAGGGATCTTCTTTGGAGAAGCAAGAAGGGCATCACAGCCCAAAGGCTCCACAGGAAAAGAGAGATGCTCTTCCTGGAGATTCCAAGGCAGAGGGACAGGAGCAGGACGGCAGAAGAAGAGGTACAGGCACCCGGCCCCGTGGCACTGGGAGGGCCTGCCAGGCTGCTGGAACGTGTCCCTCCAGGACCTGCCCTCCAGGAGCTGCCACTCAGGTGCCAGCTCTGAACAGGAGGCACAGTCTCCCGTGCAGGTCACTTTTCCCCTTCCCCCTGTAGCACCCCCAGACAACTACTCTCAACACGCCCAATTCCTTACTAACATGGCCTCCCGATCCAACTTCTGGCTGCTTCAGCTACTTTCAGAGAAAGGAGGACTTCCAAGTCTCTCCCCAGGTCAGGTCCAAAAGCTTGAATTCCAAACTCACCCTGGTTAACACCCCAGAGCAGTGATGCGTCTCGAGATTTCTTGAACCCAGACTACCAGGTACAGAACACCAGACAGACCTCCTGGACCCAAGGGCATATCACCGTCCTCCTGGGCGGAGAGGGAGCACACGGCCTCAAGACAGTTTCCAGGGAGACCAAGGCAAGCTAATGGGGAAGAGGACAGAGCACTGCTCAAGCCAGAATGCCTGCCTCCCCTGCCCTCCCCGTAGCAACGGCGAACACTGCATGTAAGAGATGGCCCACTAGTCCACAAGACCGTGGTCTGCCCTGGGGACACATTTCCAAGACACACGCTATTGAGCGGAGTTCTGGACAACTCCAGAAACCACATCCTAGATAATTAAATGTCAAGAGTAGCAAATCTCCCAATGAGGCTACTGTCCCACAGAGAGGGGGTGACTCTGAAGCTCAGTAAGCAGAGACAAATCGGCTAGAGGAGCCAAAGGGAGACCCAGGGAAGGAGGCAATACTGATGTCCATCCACAGACGGGGAGGGAGGGAGGACAATGCAGCTCTTCCCAGCAGCACGCAAGGCAGAGCCACAGTAAGGCACCTGGATTTGTAGTTGACTCCAGTTCTGAGAGTCACCTGGTCTGGCGATGAGGAACGCGTGCGCAGGGTGCCTGGTCCCTTCCCTCCCTCAGTGGCTGGATCCAGTGCCAGCACACAGGGGGAAGGGTTTTCCCAGCGAGAGAGCCGCCAGCACCTGGCACAGCCCAGACTCTGGCTGGGACACAGCACTGGGCCCAGGTTCAAGGCCACTCATACTCTAGAATCCAAAGAGGGAGCAACACTGGTTAGTGAATGCACGGGAGGCTTCTGCGGCCAAGCGCCAGCCCTTCTATCCTGGGCCCCGTGTGGCCTTTGTCCCCAGCACCTTGGGAGACTGCTCCCCTTCGGCTACTCTGATGCTTCACAGGGACTAGGACCACACATGCGGGCCCCTCCTTTCGATGCGAAGCCCCGGCCACAGCAACAATCTTATCAGAGGGTCAGCCCCCCAGTCAGACAACGGGGAGGCTCGGAGGCGGTAAGAGGCCATCCAGGAAGGGTATGAGGACAAAAGCAGCCCACGAGGAAGTGCGAGGAAGGTTTTCTGAGAACTCCTTCTGAGAGCCACCTCGGGCTACTTCATCCACCCTTTCCAAACACCCGAAAGCATTCCCAGCTAGCAGTAGGAAGGATCGGAATATGCGTTACTGAGGTCTGACCTGTCAGGATGGTCCCAGAAATTACTTTAGGAGAATGGCAGACAGGAAAATCCTCCTAAATAAGAAATCTACAGAGTTTCAGAGGCAAATCCGCATCGAAAGCCAATCCTGCAGGCTCTCCTGTGTAGGGAAAATCAAATCCCTCCTTTAAGCAGCTGCTGGTCTGTAACTATCCCGGGCCCCAGCATGAGCCAGATTAGCCCCAGGAGCCCCAGATTAGCCCGTTAGACCTCTCAGACGGTCTAACCACACATCACATATGCTGGGAACACCATGGTCCTCTTATAAAACCTCCCCAAAAGACGACTGGGGAAAAACCAAAACACAAAATACAAGGCCTGCTGCAGCCTCAAGAGATCCTACTGTTCTAAGAGCACAAAACCGACGGTCTATTTCAGGAGATATTCAGAAGTTAGAGCCAGGACAAGCAGAGCAAACTCATCTGTCCTCCAAGATGGGCAAGAGGAAGGCACGGCCAGGCTGAAACCTCGGCGTGTCCCCAGGAGGGCTGGTAGAGGATCCTGGAAGTCCGACAGAGAAGCAGGCCTCGCCACGACACAGACCTTTCAGTTTGGCAGCCCTAGCGGCCCCCGGAACCCCCACTCTTGGTGCCCCTCCACCACCCCTTTTCTTTCCAGTTGCTGTAGAACTACACACAAGCTGAGGTCAGACTATGCTCACAGCAGCACTGTGAGAGGAGGAAGCGCCTGGAAGAGGCCTGGTTTCAGCTTCTCGCCAAGCCCAGGATCCTACAGAGAAGCCGCTGAGCCGGGAGGCGGCCAGAGCCTCCTCACCCCGACGACGCAGCTACACCACAGAGACCCAGGCTCACCAGCACAACCAGCAGGGGCTAGGACAACAGGAAAACAAACTTGCTTTCTTCTCTGGACTCCAGGAGAATGACCCTAATTCTTTACTCTAGTACCTCTGTGACCTACGGGGCAGGGAAAAGGGAAGAAAAAATACTGGGGAAGAAAACACAGCACTGCTTGGCACCTCTCTTGAGCGCAGGAAACTACCACCCCAGCCCTGGCTTCCTGGGACCAGGCTCCAGACGTGTGTTGAGGAACAGCAGGTTCAACCACCTCCGTGTGCCAGGACCTTGGGCCACAGCAAAGCACCTCCCCAGTCTGCTCCTGCAGCGGTCACTGGCCTCCGTTATAGGCATAGTCGGCCTTGTTGTGCATTATCAGCTTGTTGTCGACAAAGTAGAAGCTGTCAGAGCGGGTCTCATAGGGGTTTTCAATCATCAGACGAACTGCAAGTCAGAGAAAGGGAAACAGCAAAGACACACGTGTGAGTCCACCCCCTGGACTAGGTGGGAAAAACCACAGTAATAATTCATAAGCCGGCCTTCCAGACGTGAGTATACTCTGCCAGAATAATGGGGTTAGAACAGAGCGGGGCGGGCTTGGACAGCTGCAGAGAGCCACAGAAGCCCGCATATGAAACATGATACCCACCTCAACATAAGGATGCAAGCAACCCTGATGTGGCACTCCCGGGGCATCTCCAGCCCTTCATCAGAACCCCAGGGAAACAGGATCGCCCTTTTGCCAACATGGATCACTGAAGACTGTTTACTCAGTACTTTGGTCTGTCCCCCACCTCTAGACATTCTGGTCCAAATTCCAAAAGCTGTGCTTCATGGGTCCCCCTTCCCAGGGGCTCTGCTGACAACCAAAGGAAGCCTAGGTGTGCATGAGTGCAGGGGGACCACGGGTGCAGAGCTTTTCACAGGCATGGCTCGGCGTACTAAATCACAAACGATCCCCCGAAAGACCTGCTTATCTTGGGATCCAGATTTAAATCTTCTGTTTGCTCAGGCAACGGCCAGACCTCTTCAGGCATAACAGAGAGTCAAGACAAGGAACAGTCACTACCTCTGATCGTTCCGAGTTAATGATCACGTGCTATTCGGGTTCCTTTGGAGGAAACACGCTTGTTTACCACAGTTCTCAAAGGATGAAACAGATTGTTTAAAGTCCTTTGAACCCACTCAGGCTGAAGTTATTTGGTTTATATCCAGATTATTGACCTCCACACTTTTTCAGCATATTTGGTTTCAAGAAGAAAAGTCCTACTGCCTTGGGTAAAAACTGGAAACACTATACACGATCCTTTCTTGCAAGTTGTCACAGCTCCTGGCCCAGTGTGGGGAGCAGGGTCAGCTGCAGTCATGAACAGCCGGCCCCATGTTGGCAATCCGTGTTTTATCTGGAAACAGCACCGTCGATGTGAGTGAAGAATATTCTGGTTCTTGGAATGTAACCGTTTTAAGGATCTGGGATTCTGAGAAAACCAGTCAGTGTACGTAGATCCTTCCCTACAACTCAGCCAAACTCCCCCAACTAGTCACAGGATCCCGCTCACATTCTCATTGTTCTGCAGCCATTTTCGATGGTTACCAACGAGAACGCTGAGAGCGCTCCACCTGTCACAGGAATGATAAAGCCTGTTCTTTCTCTCCATGAGTCCACCTCTTCCCTTTCTTCAGCTTCTCACTCTGGTGCCTCCCCAGTTTTTCCTCCCCAGAACTACAGGATTACTCTTCCTAAGACACGGCTTCCATCCGGCCACTCCTGCTGCTCCAAACTCCATAATAATTCCCCATTTCCTGCAGATCTATTCTGACAGCAGAGGATGAGGAAACCCTCTGATTCTAGTTAGCGCCTGGCTTCACTTCTCCCTCTGATGAAGCAGGAAGGGGAGGGCAAACAAAGAGTGCCGGGCAGGAGCGAATGACCAGAACACAGTGAAAAACCAGAGGCTTGGAGAGGTGCTCCAGCTAACCCTAGGCCCAGGGATGGTCAGGGGCCTCCCCTCCTCTCCCTCAGTCACCCCCTTTCCTGCAGCAGGCACCTAAAGCAAACAGCCTCCATTATTATTATTTTTTTTTCCCAGACAGTCCTTTTGATTCAGTAATAATGTTTTCCCCTTTGGAAGCACGTGTAAATGGATTTCCAACTGGGTTTTTTTTTTTTTAATTTTTTATTAACATGTAATATATTATTAGCCCCAGGGGTACAGGTCTTTGAATCGTCAGGCTTACACACTTCATAGCACTCACCATAGCACATACCCTCCCCAATGTCCATAACCCAACCACCCTCTCCCTACCTGCCTCCCCTGGCAACCCTCAGTGTGTTTTGTGAGATTAAGAGTCTCTTATGGTTTGTCTCCCTCCCGATCCCATCTTGTTTCATTTTTTCCTTCCCTACCCCCCAAACCCTCACATTGCCTTTCAAATTCCTCATATCAGGGAGATCATATGATAACTGTCTTTCTCTGACTGACTGACTTCGCTCAGCGTAATACCCTCTAGTTCCATCCACGTCATCGCAAATGACAGCCTGCGTTATTAAAACCTTCGATGCTCCCATACAGGCAGAGTTTGAAACTCTAGACTGGAGTGCTAGGGAATGAGAAGCCTGAGGTCAAATGCCTAGAGAGGCGTCTTGTCACCACCTCCCTCCTCTGCCAAATGAGGACATTGGAACAGATAGGACTCCAAGGTTTGTTCCTTCCAGCCCTAAGAATCTAGAACGGTACAGAAATCAAGGGATACATACTGACATCCTCCGAAAGCTGGGGAAACTCATAGATATGTTCACAAGTGTTCCTACTGCTGGGGATGCAGAAGCCGAAATCGAAGTCAAAGTTTTTCAGCAAGTGTTCCCGGAAATAGTGCCGCTCGATCATCCGGAAGTTTGACACAGGTTTGTCTCCCACTGTGAACTCCACTCTGCAAAATAAAACTTTATGAGCCCCGCTTGGCCTCCTCCCTCCTCCCTTTTCTTTTCTTTTTTTTTTTTTAATTTTTTATTCATTTGACAGAGAGAGAGAGAGAGAGAGAGAGATCACAAGTAGGCAGAGAGGCAGGCAGAGAGGGAAGCAGGCTCACCGCTGAGCAGAGAGCCCGATGCGGGGCTTGATCCCAGGACCCTGAGATCATGACCTGAGCCGAAGGCAGAGGCTTAACCCACTGAGCCACCCAGGTGCCCCCCTCCTCCATTTTCTTTTTTTTTTTTTTAAAGATTTTATTTTTATTTATTTGACAGAGAGAGAGAGATCACAAGGAGGCAGAGAGGCAGGCAGAGAGAGGAGGAAGCAGGCTCCCTGCTGAGCAGAGATCCCGATGCGGGGCTCGATCCCAGGACCCTGAGATCATGACCTGAGCCTAAGGCAGAGGCTTTAACCCACTGAGCCACCCAGGCGCCCCCCCCCCTTTTCTAAGGCCAATCCAGAACCCAACCGAGAACATTGTTTGTGGACAAGCAAGTGTTCTCCCCTCCAGAAATACTGATACTCACGTCGCCCCGACTGTCCGGAGGCGGAGAAAGGCTGGTGTGAACTGATAGCGGACAAAACGTCCTGCGCTGATATCCACGTCTCCACCTTCGTCGTCCTCCTCCTCCTCTTGGTCTGAAAGAGCACACAGCGTCTTGCATGTACGGTCTCAGCACCACTGGTCCCAACAGCGCAACCAATGGACAGTACTAACACCCACAGCAGGACGGCCAATATCGACTGCGCCTTTGCTACAGACCAGGCCTTGTGCTGATCACTTCCCAGGATCCTCAGAGCAACCCTGTGGGGTGTCACCATCATCTCCATGTTACAGATCAGGACTCAGAAGCTCAGAGACGTTAAATCATATGTCCACAGTCTCCCAAATAGTAAATGGAGGAAGCAGGGATTTGAACCCAGGGATTCGAAGCTTGTTCTCAAACACTAAACTATTTACCTTTTACATAGCTTAGGGGCCTGGGCCATATCCTAAGGCAGCCAGCCTGAAATACAAGCCAGGGCTAGGCCCCTGGCATGGTGGACAGCACACAGATAGGTCTGCTGGTGACAGGGGGCAGTGCTAGCCGCCAACCAGAAGAATGAGACTACAAAGGTTGAAACTCGTCAAAAGGCCAATTCAAAGAATGCAAAAATTTCTGACAGGCAGCAAAGACAACCCCTAGAAATACTCTTGTTATTTAAGTGGAAGAAACTGGCCTCCAGACTTGGGATATCGTAATGCCTACTCCAGGCCATGCCAGGTCCGACACCAACTACCTGGGAAACAGCGAGGCTGATGGGCAATGGACCGAAATGCAGGACCTGAATGAGGGTGACTCTAGCCCATTCCGGAACCCAGAAAGTAGAAAAAAATTTCTGTAAAATGAGCCAGAGAACCATTCTAATGTGAAAAACAAGGTAGTTCCCACTAGTAGCCATCCAGTGTCCAGCAAAAGTATTTTCTCCAGGTATAGGCTGAATGTGGGTACAACTAAGTCCCAAACATCTCCACCTACGACAACCCCAAGAGTATATGGGCAACACCGAGCAGGGGTTCAGAGCCAGCCCCTGGAGCGTCCTCGTTCCAACAACGCGATTCAAAGAGAATCAGACCAAATCTTCTCAGGGATTCAAACTCCTCAGAACGAGTGCAGCAGGAGGTTACGATTCGGTGGGAGCATACTCTAAGTGAATCAAGTTCTTAAAGGTAAAGACTGGAAAAGTTGAAAATCAAGGATCTGCAGCTGACCTTCTTGAGACAGGTCAATTTTGTACTGAAATGACTACTATGGGCCCCGTCTAATCCGAGTCTATACACCTGAAGTGGCCCTGGAGCCCTTGAAACGTCTGAAGTGCTGGGACGTGTCACCCAGAGATGTGAACGCCACATCACCAGAACGAAGCTGGCTGGCCCTGATCCTCCCAACACCAGCTAAGTCCCCACCAGCTGGAGTCGCGGGGTGCCTCCGTCAGCTCTAGATTATGAGAGCATAAAGGATGCCGGATGGGGCTGGGGCTGCAGCCTTGGCTGTACAATGAACCTGAGCTGAGACCTTCTCAGGAAAGCCTTTCGACCCATGCAGGATACTAATACCTGCCTCACCAAATTTACAGGCTCTTTCTGAGTAGCAAATCAGATGAGAAGAGCTTCGCAAAAAAAATTATGAATACAGACTTTGGTGAATACTCTGGAGTCATCCGTGCTGGTGTTCTAACAACGAACGCCAGAGGGTGCTCCGTCTCCAGTGATGAGCTCCAAGACAGACATGAGGTCCCCTGGCCAGGAATGAGTCACCCTGGGGCTACATCACAAGCACCGGAAGCATCTATTCAAAGCTAATTTAAGGAATCCCAAGTAGTTCATAGGTCTGGGCTTTCTATTCATCCAGAAAATGGTGAAGATTAAAACCCCAACTAGGACTTACAGAGAAATAGGAGGAAAGCGATGGAGAAGACGGGGAGCCGGGCCTGGGACTCTCAATATCACCCTTCCAGCATCCCCAGAAACCAAGGTTCAGGGGAATCTTTCCTCATTCTACTTTAATTCCAAAGTTTCCTTTCCTAAGTGGAGGCAACATGGTAAGATGAGCAAGCACAGGATCTTAGGAAAGTCACTTGGAAATTCTGGGCCTCAGTTTCCTTACCTATAAAATGGGAAAAATAGCTCCTCCCAGAAATGGGAGGATTAGAGAGCCCGATGCAAACAGAAACACGTGTACAACCAGCAGAGGGTTCATACTCAACAAATACCAGCCTCTCAGTGCTTCTGATCAGCAGGGCCGACAGGCCAGCCTTTAGGAGGAGGCCCCGCAGCGGACATGCTGGAGTCCCAGCCACCGGATGCAACGGCTCTCACAGACGGAAGCCGAGAGCCTCGGAGACATTCTCAAGGGTGGGGGTGAGCATACTGAGGCCTACCTGAAACACAGGGTTTGGCGATCTCAAAGAGCACTGTCCCTGTCTCCAAGTCTCGAATTTTGAAACGAGTGAAATCAATACTGTAGATGTTATCTTCGGGTTTACATAAATAATCTGAAAATAAGAGACAAACGCTGTTAAATAACCCTCCAAAACTACCATTTCCTTCTTAAGTTTTGAAGCAAACTCAAGGTTTTTCTTCTTAAACAATTCACTTAAAATACACCCCAAAACTTCCTCTTATGTTATTAGCAAAAGTTGTGTGACGAGAGTAAGGGGACTGAAGAAAGAAAAGAAAGAGCATGGATTTGGATGGGATGAAAGATTATCATAAAACTTTTAGAGACAGGGAAGTTAAACACCCCCAAAAATGGCCTACAAAGCTTCCATGATCTATTAACTTGATGTCACAACAGGACAGAATTTTTTTACAAATCCATTTTAAAACATTTATGCTGATCTAATGGCCAATATAGTGCCTGTCTGCCAGCCGTGAGTATCGCACAGCAGATATCAGCAAAGTTTTCTGTAAAGGGCCACATCATAAATAATTTAGACCTTGGGGCCACACCGTCTCAGTCACAAGCACTCAACTCTGTCACTGTAGCAAAAAGCAGTTGCAGACAACCTGCAAATAAATGAGTATGGCTGTAGTCCAATAAAACTATTTACAGAAGCTGAAATATAAATTGCATATAACCACGTGTGCCGAGATCTTTTCTCCCCCTCTACTATTTAAAAATGTAAAAACCATTCTTAGCCTGTGGATTGCACAAAATCAGGCAGTGGACCATACCTACACGGGTGACAGGGCAGATCTGCTGGGAGGGCACTGGGCCAAAGTGCAGTAGAGCCCATGACAACCTGAGCATCTTATCTATATGGTACCCATCATAGGAAACTTCCCTGATTTCTTTCTAAGACAACTCCTGATAGCATCTTCTCCACAACTCATTTGAGCACTTTTTCTTACATTGTTCGCTTGCGTTAGCTGTTCCACATTTTACAAGCTGTCTCTCCAGTAATATGGCAAACTTGAAAGCCGCTGATTATCTGTAAATCCTAAAATGACTGAGATGGGTTCTGCACCTTTCGAGGGTATTCAATAAATAACTTGTTGAATGAAAGAGACATGAACAAAATCCAGAGGTCACCGACTCTGACCTGTGGCTTTCTCCAGTAGGGTTCTGGGGTGAGTCTGAGCAAAAGCACCAACCCCGGGCTCCTACACCTGAGTGCCCACTGAGAATGCCACTTAGGGCCAGGCATTAGAATGGCCCGATTCACCCTTGGTATCAGGAGAAAGCAGGAGGCTAGAATGCTGAGGTGCTGAGCACTTCCGGACCTTCAGAGCCCCAAATGAAAATGGGGAAAGAACAGAAGTAGCGTTTTCACAATGTTTCAATAAACTGATTAGCAAGACCTTCTAAAGATGACTCAGGCATGCAAAGGACAAGCCAAATCACGGGAGCTGCTCCCTGAGGTACACCTGAGCAGCAGCCCCCCCCCCCCCCCCCCGCCCAGACAGCTAAAGCAAGCTGGGTCTAACCAGGGAGGGGGGAAATAGCAGCAAGGAAAAGGGCGGCAAGTCAGGGTTGGCTTGGGAGAGAACACGAATAGGGAGGAGAGCCAAGACAGGGAGTGGGCAATGTATTTCTTCCCAGCCTTCCTTATTATCAATGAAACCCTGTGGGATGGTTGCATTTCAGGCAAGAAATGCATTTCTTAAACCCTGACACATTCTTAATTTACTAGAACAGGTGTCAAAAGCCGGAGTCACATTTTGGACTGGATACATAAACTGAAACTTTGTTACATATTTTCTAATGTGGCAATTTTCGATTTGCACGAAATGCCATGGCAATATGTTGGAGGAAGGAAAGGCCCCCTCCCCGCACACTAAGGGGCAAGGCTTGGGACCAAAGGAGTAAGGGGGCCAAGGAAGGCTGGAGAGTGGCCTGTCAGGGGACGGGGTGGAAGGAAAGGCAGAGAAAGCAGGTAGAGGTCTGGGCTGAGCAGGAAGTTCACTGGTACCTGTGAGTCTCCCAGGACGAGGGGGCAGCGGTCCCACTTAACCAGGTTCAGGAGGTTCTGGTTAAGCTAAGGGGGCTCCCTACCCAAAGGGATCCAGTTTAGGAGGAGAACGGCCCGGCCTGGAGGCCCAGCTGGGGCCCGCCCATGAGGAGCCTGGCGTGGCCGGACACAGGGGAGTGCGGTCCAGCTCAAGGCGAACCCCTTTCCAACCAGGTCGGGGTAAGAGTGGGGAGCACAGAGCTGGCCCGGCTGAGAGCCGGGCGACGCGGCCTGGCCGGCTGAGGGGGACTGGGTGGTCCCCCGGGCCGGTCAGGTGGCGAGCGGCCGACTCCGCTGAAAACAACAAGGGGCCCGAATCCCGGTGCGAGGGTAGGACGCGGTCGGGCCGGCACTCACTCTCGGTGACCCGGCTGAGGCGAAGGACGTGCTCGGGCCGGATGGTGTCGAGAGCCAACAGCTCCTGCTCCGTGACCGCCGCCCCGATGCTGTCCTCTGCCGCGTGGTGGGGCGCCTGCCGCCGCGCCTTGAGTCGGTTCAGGACGCCGCCCCCAGTTTTCTTCTTCTCTTCCTTGCCGGTCACAAGCCCCCCGGACCCAGCCGCCGACCCCGCGGCCGCAGCCTTGGGGTTCGACCCGCTCATCTCTCCGCCGCCAAGATGGCCGCCGCCTCCGCAGCGCCGTAACTATGGAGAGCGGGGGCGGGGCCCCGAGTGGCACCTGGGGGCGGGGCGGGGGCGGGGGCGGGGCCTGCGGGCAGGGGCCAGCCGCCTGCTCTGCCCACTCGGTCTCCGCCAGGTGTGAGCCCTAGTGGCCGGGGGTGCCAACCCATCAGACTCCATCAGAACCCCCAAGATCACCCCAAATGTCTTTTATTTTTTTTATTTTTTTTAAAAGATTTTATTTATTTATTTCACAGAGAGAGATCACAAGTAAGCAGAGAGGCAGGCAGAGAGAGAGATAGAGGAGGAAGCGGGCTCTCCGCCAAGCAGAGAGCCCGACGCGGGACTCGATCCAAGGACCCTGAGATCATGACCTGAGCTGAAGGCAGAGGCTTAACCCACTGAGCAACCCAGGCGCCCCCCAAATGTCTTTTAAATATTTCAGTCAAATGACTTTCTGTCATGTAAACTAGACAAGGCATCTTGAGGAAATGTTTTCTGATCTTTAGCACAGAAGTTAAAACAAGTGCTTGCTATGCAACAGCGGCTTCCCAATTAGATTTCCATTTCTAAACCCTACTGTGTCAAGCTTTGAGCTAGACATCAGGCTAGACTACAAGAAATATGAGAATATGAACCAGGGCTGGGATTAGGCCCACTTTATTCACTATTGTATTCTGGCCGTAGAGTTCATATCTGACACAGTTGGTGCTCAATAGGACTGAATGAGTGAGTGAAGGAAAGCCCTGCTATGAAGGAGCTAGCCCTTTGTTGGGGAAGACTGTGAAGTACATAATTCATTATGTGGACACTCCTCTTGACCAGCCCAGCATGAATGAACTAGAAGACGAACCAGACTGCTAACTGCTCTAACAGAGGTACAGCAATGGTGCAGAACACACAGGAGTGGTCTGGCCCCATGGAAGAGGCTTCACAGAGGTAACATCTGCACAGAACCCTGGAAGTTAATCACAATTTCACTAAGTGGAGGAGGTGGACCAGGGGGTTGGGCAGGTGGATGGAGGGTGGGTTCAGGCTGCCCTCTCACACCCCAAGTGGCTCCTTCTCTAGAGATTCTGGGTCAACAATCTTCTATGTTAGAGACCTGGGTCCAAATGTTGTACTGCATCTGCTAGGTCAGGTATCACCTCTCACTCCACCCCTTTCTCCCGAGATCAGCTTAAAGACTTGGTTTATGCCGGGCCTCCCTGAGTCCCTCTCACTTTATGTAAGGGGCTTGGGAGGGGCTGACAGGCCTAGCTCGGTTCCTGGACAAAATCCAAACCTGACTCCACCCAGGGCTGCCCAGCCTGGTGGAACAGTGTGTGGCCAAGTTCCTATCTAAATGCTGCCCTATCTTTGAGAGATTACCACTGGGTGGCATTTACCAAACCGTTCAGGAAAATTTTATTTATTTATTTATAAGGATTTTATTTATTTGAGAGAATGAGAGATCACGAGCAGGGGGAGGGGTAGAGGGAGAAGCAGACTTCCCGCTGAGCAGGAGGCCCCCCCCCCCCCATGCGGACTCAATCCCAGGACCCTGTGATCATGACCAGAGCCAAAGGCAGACCCTTAACTGACTGAGCCACCCGGGAGCCCAGTTCAGGAAAATTTTAATAGATGTGTACAAAGAATTAAAGTCCTTCCCTTCGCAAACACTTCTTTTTAAACCACTAATCAGTGAGTGGTTACTGAAGAATTTCCAGAACTTTTAATATGCTACTTAATTGTGAATCACTAGGAGGGAGGCTCAGCTTGCAGCCATTTCCCACACTCACTTGCTCACTAAAACTTTGTTCTCAGAACACTAGGACTAGTTACCTGGATCCCCACTTTCATTTCTAGGGATGATAACAAATGTATTACCCCCCCCTTACCTGCAACTTCAGATCCTTTTGCACAAAAATGTTTACCACAGAGCCACATGTAACACTGAAAAATTACAATAAATTACAGTTGCATCCATTCAGGTTATGCAGCTGTTAGAAAGAATGAGATCCATCTATGCCAGTATAGAGAGCTTAAAGATATATTAAGTGGGGGGGAAACAAGGCACAGAATCCCATTTGTTTAAAATAAAAAGGACATGGATATACGGATTTATATTTGTAACTGCAAAGGAAAAATTCTGGAAATGCACTAAAGTGTTAACCGGTTCCCTCTGAGGAGGAGAGCATTAGAAGGAACTAAAATGGGAATGTGGGGTGCCTGGGTGGCTCAGAGGGTTAAGCCTCTGCCTTTGGCTCAGGTCATGGCCCCAGGGTCCTGGGATTGAGCCCCGCATCGGGCTCTCCGCTCAGTGGGGAGCCTGCTTCTTCCTCTCTCTCTGCCTGCTGCTCTGCCTACTTGTGATCTGTCAAATAAATAAATAAAATCTTTAAAGAAAAATAAAAATAAATAAAATGGGAATGTATTCACTTTTGACATGAGAGCTACTTATGTTCTGTTTTATCACAGCAGGCATATGATCATGGGTTGCTCGTATATTAAAAAAATATCTTAGGATCTCTGAAAGAAAATGCTAAGCCAAAGTAGCCTTATCGTCTCTTAAAATTTAAAAGCAACTTAACACTTGATCACTTCTTTTCTTTTCAAAAGAAAGTTAAATAAAAAGTGTCATATAGAGGCGCCTGGGTGGCTCAGTCGTTAAGCATCTGCCTTCGGCTCGGGTCATGACCGGAGTCTTGGGATCAAGCCCCGAATCGGGCTCCCTGCTCAGCAGGAAGCCTGCTTCTCCCTCTCCTGCTCCCCCTGCTTGTGTTCCCTCTCTGTCTCTCTCTGTGAAATAAATTTTAAAATCTTTAAAAAAAAAAAAAAAAAAAAAACCCTGCCATATAAGGGAGTTAGGGCTTGTACTCTCTCCAGTTGCCACCTATGAACTGTGATTAAAAGGAAAAGGTTAAAAAAAAAAAGGAAAAGGCTGTCTTCAGAAAAGACACACAAAAATAATATATATAATATAGTATATGTATTATATATATAATATATAATAATATAGCATTATGTATTTTATATATTATACATACATGGAAGGAGCAGGAAAAACAAGGGCTATAAACTCCAACCTGCCTCTGCTTCTCTTCACCAAATCTTCCTGCACTGTATCAAAAGGCTCTTTTAACAAAATTTTGGGAAGTACATAAACTAAAGCTATATTTGGGGGAGAGAGGACAACCGAGACCTACTGCATCAAATAGTAACCCCAAGGTTTCCCTGGGCTAGACGGGCGAAGACTGGAGTGGCAAGAATGGCCTTCCTTTCACCGCAGCTCTGCAAGTCCCTCTCCTTCAGCTGGCTGTTTTCCTCACTGTAAGAGGTGTGACAGTGGCTGTTTTCCAGGGCAGCCCCAGGGTAACCTGGCAGTCTGCCTCAGATCAGGCCAGGCAGGTGGGGCCTGGAGCTGCTGCAGCCAAGGTAAGCAAAGACATCAGAGGGCTTTTTTCTGGCAAGACAGGGAAATTCAGTCCTCCTTCCTACTGCCTCCTAAAGGTGCCATGCCTCGAGTCAGTGGGTCAGGCTGGGGCTGCAGGCTGGCCATGTGGCCTGGGACTGAGAGCTGGTAATTTCCTAGTATCCAAGTCACCACTCTCTCTAGCTGAGGGTTGTTTTTACAAAGCATTGATTTATTATTTATATCCCACCTGTTTCCAAAAAGGGTATCTGGCCTATTCCCAAGTCATACAGTGCAAGATTGGTGAGTAAAAATTCATGGAGCCTTGGGGAAGGGTAGTACTTTCAAATTTGTAAATGCATGTACTGTTTGAACCCAGTAATTCCCTAATGGAGTCTGAAGAAACACTTGCATGTGTGCACAATATGTGAAAATATGTGCATATGGACATACATAAAAAATACATATAGGGGCACCTGGGTGGCTCAGTCAGTTAAGTAGCTGCCTTCGGCTCGGGTCATGATCTCGGGGTCCTGCGATCGAGCCCCGCATCGAGCTCCCTGCTCAGCGGGGAGCCTGCTTCTCCCTCTTCCTCTGCCTGCCACTCTGCCTACTTGTACTCTCTATCTCTGTATCAAATAAATAAAACTAAAAAAAAAAAATACATATAAAAGGAAATATACACATCAGACTGTCACCTGTATTATCCTCTAGGGATTAGACAGGTAGATATGAGAATGATGGAATTTTCACATTTTGCACCCCATGTAACTTAAAAAAAAATGTTTATGCATTTCCTGTCTCACTAAGTCTTAAAGGGTTACTTTCTTTTCCAGAGAAGGAATGATATGATAAACCTCCACATAACCATCACCCGGCATCATTAATTACCTTCATTCAAACAATTCTTTTTAAGGGACAGCCCATGGCAGCGAGAAGTTCGACAGTCCCAGTCAGTCCTCACTCGGCTACTGACCAGCTGTAGGACTTTGCATGGGTCATCCATTCCCTCTGAGCCTTGCTTTCCCCTCCTTTGTAAGTGGAGCTAGTCACACGTCTCCCCGAGGGCTGTAGTGAAGAGACGAAAAACCGCAACGAAAAGCACGATGCTGGTGTCAGGAAGTATGTCTCATGAATGGTCACTCTGCCAACCAATTTCAGTGGCCTTTCTGCAGGACCCCTCTGCGGAGGGCACGAACACACGGAGCTGGACGGGAGAGCATGTTGACTAGAAAGAGCTGAGGAGAAACGAGCTGGGGACCAGGCTTGAGAAAGTGACACATGGACTCCAGTGGCAACAGCAAGAAACCGAGAAGAGCAAGTCTGAGCACAAGGCCAAGCGGAAAAGAGTGGGGTTATTTTTTACTAACATACGTGTGGGCAGCAACACACAAAACTATGGCTCTTGGGCCCGAGTCCTGCAGTGAGGTGCTTGGCATCTCGGGTTGCTAGAGAGCAGAGGCAGTCCTGCTCCAGAACCTCCCGGCTCCACCTCCTCTCCGCCTTGACCCCTCACCACTAAAAGCAACAAGCTTTCCAGTAAATGTGGGGAAAACTCATCTCTCTTCCTCTATAAAAGGTGGAGGAG